TTCATAAAAAACTACTATATTTGTTTACTGTTTTAAACAGGCAAAGGACCTCTAAAAGACTACTACAACAGGCTGATAAGTAAACTGCACTTTAAGCATATCCAGATCTGTACACCGTGGCTTGAAGCTGAAGATTACCCTCTTCTGCTAGGTAAACAGTGGATTATGAAATACGCTTGAGAATGTGTGAAAATCAACTCGGCACAGTTGCAGAGAGCTGATACAGTTTTTGCACAGAAGCTGGTGAAATACAGTAAGCCAATGACGCTGGAGAAGTAAGCTTAGTAACTGTGTTGCTATTTTGGCCTGTTCTTTGTACTCTTTGTTTCTTCTAACTATGCCGAAATACAGTGTGCCTGTGCATGTTCCAGTTGATTTTTTAGGGTCACTTCAGTAAATGAAATAATGACATTTTTGGCTGAGCAACCAAAAGTTGCTGAAATTCTAAATTAACATGTCCTTTTAATAGTATTCGCTCAGCTTGTTCATTGTATTAGTATAAAGTGTGGGTAAGCTTAATAAAATAGAAAAATAGATACTCAAGTTGATCTATATTCTGCAGGGTTAGTGCCTGCCAATTTATGTGGCTGTAAAACACTATGTTTGTTTGGTAATTTTTAACTAATGAATATAATGTCTATAAAATCATGCTGCAATTTCTCTGTTTTGAAATCACTTGAACTGGAAGAGGTCACTAGCGAGCCATGCACCATGACCTGTGTGAATTGTGATGGAGTTTTCCTGCGCACTTACCCATTCTTAGATAAGATTAAGAGGTAGAAAGGCTGTTTTAAGATATGTGAAATTAAAAAATTTCCTTTAATTTAATATGCACTCACCTGGTGTCTTTCTAAAGCCTGACTAACTTTAGTCACAAAATACATTGTGCACTTTTTCCCCCGAGTGCTTGAAATTGAGTCACTTTGGATGGTGTTTAAGGTAGTTCATGTCTCACTTGCATTGCCCAAAGTTCATAAATAGAAAGGTTTACAGTGAGACTGGAAGAGCTGCTTTCAGAGAATTCAGCCTCTTGTCTGTTTTGTTTGCTTTTCAGGCTCAGCAGACCTGGGGGTGTGTCTCCATAAGTCATCCAGTGGTTTGGATTTACCCATGAAGGTGGTCGATATGTTTGGCTGTTGTTTACCTGTGTGTGCAATATATTTTGAATGGTAAGAGCTTGCTTATTCTGATACAGTTTAAGTGGAGCCTATAAAATAATATTCTTTAAAAGCAAGACTTCAGCTGCTACTGTGTGTATCAAATGAGATCCCAGTACTGTGCCATAACAACTTGTTGTTATATTGTTGTTGTCTTCTGAGATAAATTAACACTAGTTTTTATGAAGTTGGGAGCATTTAATGCAAACTTCTTGGCTTAAAAATCTACCCTGTAGTCTTTTGTTTCCATATACTTAATGTAACAAAAGCTTCTCTGTGTTCTGTGAAGGGTAAGCATATGCATAGACAGCCTTGCAATTTACAGTCCTTTGTGGAAACAGTAGCTTTTATAAATAAAGATACATTCTTTGTGAAGGTCTCATGAAGTGGATCACGGACAGATTTACCTTGTAGGTTAATTTTAAAGTAGATTATTGCCCTGATCTTTAATGTATGTCCAGATGAGTGGCACAGAGTGAGGGCCCTCTTACTGTAATGGTAGATTTAGATAGTCTGACACAGAAGGGAGAAACAATCTTTAAATTTAAACCTTTAAAACTGCCTTCTTCATTCCATTTTGTCAGCTGTGAAGCTTATTATCTAGACATCCAGGATCATTATGTTACAGATACCCTAGCACAGACTCTTCAGATGTCACTGTGCAACTTAATGTATATGTCCCTCTTGCTGCTTTTTATCTCATGTTTTTTTTTTATGACTTTTGTTCGCAGTTTACATGAACTTGTAAAACACAATGAAAATGGTCTAATATTTAGCAACTCGAATGAACTTGCAGAACAACTAAAGGTAAAGTATTGGCTGACTTTTCTTTCCCACTAGCTGTAACCACAAAGGTGCCAGCCATAATCTGGCTGTCATCTGTGTATTTTGCAGTCTCATAAGATACTGCTTTGCCTGGTCAATGTTATTGGCCTCACTTCTATTTGAATATGAATCTGAAGGTGGCAAGAACATTTTAAATGCTGTCATAGTTCATTATTAATAGGTCCAGACCAGAGCGTGCTCTCTTACTGCACCGTTGTAGTTGAGGGTTAATGCTGGGGAGGCTGGAATGAGCCTAAAATGTAATATGGTGGTATTTTTCTGTTTTTCCTTTTAATTTACAGATGCTTTTATTGGGATTTCCTACACTGGAAGGCAAACTCCACAACTTCAGAAAAAACCTCCGTGCCTCCAAGCAGCTGCGCTGGGATGAGAGTTGGGACCAGACTGTTCTTCCCTTGCTTGGGCAGAATGACTGACTTTTTGTGGTGCAGGAGGGTGTCAAAAAAGCTTAATACATTTCTGGAGCTGCATAGATTTGATGAATAGTGAATAAACACTTTTGTATTGTCTATAGTTGCAGTTTTTAACTACCTCATCTTGGAACGAGTGTTTGGACACACCTTTTCCTTGACAATTTGAGCTTCTCATGTGAGTAATAACAGAGCTGAAGGAGCAGCCTAGGCAGTTTGTTGTGTGCCAGGGGTGTAAGTCTTGAGGAAAACACTGAAGGGTTCCTGTGCTAAAGAGCTTGAGCCTTGCTGTCCACGCTGCCTTTCCTGTCTTCTCACTTGGGATGAAGCTTTAAAAAGCAGGAGGGAGGTGTAGTTACTCTAGGAACTCCTATGTGCAAAATCTGTTACGTGTGCTGCTTAAAGGTCACTTTTTGGTGAACATACTTAAATACGTAATAAACTATTACCAGTTAGTTAGACCTATTGTACAGTAAGCACTTTAGTAGTTGATAGAGGTATTTTTTTTTTCTTGCAAATGGGAGATGCCTTTTACTTGAATTGCTTTATTTGAACTAAGGATACAGTGGGGTTTTATTTTTTTCAACCGAATAATGTTCATGGCCAGTCTGCCTTAGCCAAGCACTGGATATCCTCTTGTATGATTTTATTGAGACAGAACCATTTAGTTTCAAAGTTGTTTTGCTTTTTACAGTGTGTGTAAGAATATGAAAACACAGCCATTGGTATGTGACAGGTTTCTTTGAATACTTGGAGGAAAATACACCTTTTCAGTGACTGTTGATCCTTGTACACTGATGTGAATGTGCCCGTTTACCTTGAGAAAGAACATAAAATTTATCCCTTTTTGAACAGATTAATAGACAAGGAAACAATAAAACCAGAACAAGACTGAAGTATGTATAACTTAATAAAAAGGGTGCTTCGCTTTCTGAGTGCTTACTTAGGTATACTCTTTATCTTTTTTAAAAATTTTATTTTATTGTTAATATTGGTGTTCATATGCAGACCTAATCCTTACGAGATGCTTTTTTTATACTGTGCTTGGTTTTATCATGTGGTTACTGCTTGCATTGAGCCTCTTGACTTCCTCCTTCAGCGGTGGTTTCTGTGCCAACATTTTTAAGCCTGCTTACTGAGTAATTGTTTAATTTCTGCATCTGTCAAGCTGGACAGCCATTGTCAATCGTGCCTTTCCCCATCTGCACCGTGGTTCCAGCAGATACTCTTGTGAAATAGGGTTCTTGACAGTCATTTGGTTTTGCTGGTGGGAAGGTTGAGAGTTCAAGTTGCTTACTGCAGGGGTTTGGCATTTTCACTGGTTCACTGGCTGAAGAGTGATCCATAAAGATTTATTTGCTGATATTTGTTTGTTTTGTTTTTAAGCAAAATTCTATCCGGTGGTATGGCCATTGCCCTTTAGCCATTGATATGGACATTGATAGGCACTTCTCTAATTAAACAATAATGCCAAAAGCTTTAGAAGAGGTTTCATTTTCCTATACCAAAATTTTTTTAGTTCCAAAATTCTGAAAGTGCAGTGAGGTTACTTCTGTTTATCCAACTTAATACTGGTGGTCATGGCCTCCTTCAGCTGGAAGAATAAGATGATTCTTCATGTTTTCAAGTTACCTATTCTCTGATAATACAGAAGGAGGAGGCTAAAGTATTTATTAATTTTCTTTTAAGTACCTTTTACAACAAGGTACAGAAAAGGAAGTCAGGACAGAGTAGCACACCACTTAATTTTCTGCTTCGGGACCGATACTGTCCAACAGAAAAATTAATGGATTAATGGATTCTGGAGAGTTTCAGAGAAGGTGAGCTCAGTTCTTCCTCCCTGCAGTATATGTAGAGCATTGCTACAAAGTATGATTCATTTTGTATTTCCTGGGCAGTCTTGAGGCTGGCTTCCCAATAGCTGGTTGTGAAATGACAGTCCTTGTGCGAGAGAAATTGAACTCAAACTTGATTTTTGCCATCACTGCAGAATAAAGATGCACCTGTTCTACAATAGTCTATTACCTCCTCTTAACGGCATCATGTAAGCTTGTGACTCTGTCTTCTCTATTTACTGTAGGTTTTACTCATTATTACTGTTTAAGATGACCCATACTGCAAGTATATAAAGACAAGTATAAAAAACGGAGTAGACACCAATTACAGCTGGTTTTAATGTTAAAAAATACATTTATTACTATGAAACACTGTTTTACTCCCTTATCAGTGTGAGATACTCATCCTATGATCCTGCAGATGTGCCTTCGTTATTTACAAATCAAAACACAAATGGGAAAAAAAAAAAGTACAGTTCCATTCTGTTGTCTTCTACAGAATCAAAATGCAGTACAACTGGGGCTTTTTGCTACTGCTTGAGGTTCACAGAGGCTTTCCAGGGGCAGCAGCTTGCTTGCACACGTGCTGGCAATTGCAGGAAGAAACTTAACTCACTTTGACAACGCTCTGTGCGTATCATCACATCCTCAGTGCCTCTCGCGTATGTTTCTAGAATTCAAGATAATCTCGTTGCAAGGATGAGATAGCTCCTGTTAGTCTGAAAACTCTAATTCTGTCATATTTGCCACGTCTATATAAATAGCTGTAGAAGAGTTACGTTTGGCTGCACATCATAGATAAAAATGCTGTTGCTGTGGGCTGGAAATACCTGCCATCTGATCCCAACTTTATCTGTAAAGAGAAACACTGGGAATCATCATTCTGCATAATAAAATGAAAAGCAAAAGTTGGGTGTCAAGCTCTGTAAGAAGAGATCTTTGGCATGCTGTAAAGCAAGCTACAGGCAAATGCTTACGAGCGTGTATTTTAAAAAATGAACAGGTACAATAGGTGTGCTTGTGTGATGCCCTCAGCATAATTTTGTGAATTAGCCAGTTGTTGTAGACCAGCTGTACAGCCAGGACACTGCAAAAAGACAGGCTTTTGAAAAGTGTATGAAGAAAAGGACAAAATCCCTCCCTATTTTATTTAATCTCTAGGTTTTTTTAACCCTTAAAGAACAGATAAGATGAAGGTTTTAGGCTACATCTTGAATGTTATCACTGTGCCAGTACACCACAGATGTTTTTCCTCCTTTAAGCTTAACGCTTCTTTAGTTTCCTGTTCCCACCACATTTGCAATTCATCTCAAATTGGCACTAACAAATACGAGTTGTGACAGACAGGATGTAGCAAAAAGGTAAGGTCCAATCTCCTGATCAAATCTATGTGGAAAAGTTACTGCTCTTAGGCAAGACCACTCAAATCCAGCTCTAAGATAAGGATCTCACTCCTGGACAATACCCGTCACCAAAGAATGCTCCTGTTCATCTCTACTACGCACAGAAGAATGGGGAAAAAGGCCAAAATCATTGATACACTTGATGAAAAAGGCACCTACCAAGTTCAGCCTGGAAGAGGTGATACGTGTCTGGATTGCGAATGCTGGAAGCAATGTAGACCTCAGGGGGTTTTCTGTCTGCTGTGAACATGGAGAGTTTTCGTAGCATACCAATAAGGGCTAAAATTATCTCTGGATCATAGACCACATCTGCACAGAAAGGCAAACATTCAATATTCATTAGGAATTGAGCAAAAAGCAGAATCAAAACTTAAATCCAAAATACTAATCTTGCAGGAGAATAGGATTTTTGTATTCAGGGGTTAAAAAACCCCAAGAGGGCATCTTGGAAAATGCCTCTATTTTACGTGCTATACCAAGTTGACCTCAGATCTCATATCAGTCCAAAATCACTAAAAATTACAGTGCCTTTTTGTAAATGGATTGTCAGATAAACCCATCGTGAGGGAGACAGGAAGAACACTGAGTGTTGGTACTCTGTTACAACTGTCTTTAGCAGGACGAAACTGTATTGTTCGAAATGGCCATTTCAGAGGCTGATTGCAAAGGACTGGATTGGAACTGCAGCAGTTTTAATCTTGAATCATTTCCTTGAGAGCAAAAATAACGATGAAAGGTAAAACTGATCGTTAAGGTGTACAAAATGCCAGCCTTACTGATTAGCAGTGTGATTCTGAGTCTAGCTAATACATATACAGTGACTTTGTTTTGTAGCATTCACATATTTAATGCCTCACTTGATACCTCTGACGACAAAGGCAGTGTATTTTGTCATTTTTTTAAACCTCAATTCTTAAGTAATTTTTGCTTTGCAAATCAGGGAGTAAAATCCTGTAACTATAGCTAAGAAATGTTACTATTGCTAGATTTTCCATTATTAGATTTTTATAAACTCCCTCCAGATTTATACATAGGCAAGTTCCTGAAAAGTTACTTCCTTTTAAAATATGTGTTATCCCTCAGGAGAATGCCAAGACTGCCAGCTACTGATGAGGCTCTTAAAAGTGGCAGATCTGTAATTTTCTGTTTCTGGATTATTTTTTTTAAAGTACAGAAGGGAAAAATAATTTACTTTTCAATCTTACGGAAACAACCTCTGAATATATGAAAAAGCCTGAATGGGGTAAAGAGCTGGAAGATCAATCACACACTGCCAGATCCGGTCACTGGCGTAGGGTTGAGTGAATCCTGCACACAAAACTTTCATGTGAGAATGAGCACAGCAAGATGCAGTCAGAAGTGTAAAGTACCTGCTGCAATGACGACCTCAGGTTGGAGATCCAACAGCTGCTTTTCTGTAACTGAGCCCCAGTCAAGTTCTGCAACAACTAGGTTTGGGTGTTGGTGATTTGTTGCTTCTGCCTCCTGGCCTTGGGACTCTGCTTGGATAGGATGAGTTACAGGCTCAAAGCCATTCAAGCGGATGTTTTCTGTCAGCCGTTTAAGAACACAGGGGTGGCAGTCACTAAAAATGTATGTCTTGGGATTGCAGGTTTTACAGATTGCAATTCCAGTGAAGCCAATCCCACTTCCTAGTTCCAAGACTGTCCTGAGGGGTAACGGAGTCCAAGAAATAATTATTAGGACCCTAAACTGAGTTAGGAAATCTAAACATTCTATGAATATCTGAAGGTAAAATCAGTTACAGATTATTTCAATAATTTTTGAGTAAAGCATCTACAATCTCATCTTTGTTTCAGATAACTGGTAGAGTTGGTAAACACCAAAGATGCAAATATAAGCAGAAAAATGAAGTACTTGAAATACTGCTTTTGCATATGGTACAAAGCATTTCCACCACTGGGGTGAGATTTGTTCCACGTGTTTTTAGACTTCTGCGGCATGGTTGTCTCCATCTAAGCTGGTTGTGCAGTTCTCTTCATAGTGGAGAGAAACGGACGCTTCAGCAGCATAGTTTCTTTCCTAATGAGGTCAATATTTAAAATGAACTTAGCCAATTTATTCCTTAAAAGTGCTTGTTTCTCTCGAATGCTTATAAACAAAGCCTGACTGTGGAATCAGATGTGCACACCTGCACATCGATCATCCAGAGTTAGGTGAGATGGATCCCATCCTGGAGTGCATGAGTTAAAGTCACCAGCTGGACAGTGCGGTAGCTGAAGTTTAACAGCCTGCTTTATGGAGTGTGTCTGACTGCACGGTGTAACAGTTTTGATCTTAAAACTTGTCTTAAAATAACTCTGAGGTCCTCTCTGGGATTAAAGGTTGACTGCTGCAGAACAGATGAGAGCAGAAGTTAGCCAGCAGCAAAAGGGCGTAGTCAGTTCAGTTATTTGGGAGGTCAGTATTGCATATTGTTAAATTACAGTTGCACAGCTCACAATGTGAATGAAAATACCTTGGCTTCTTTCCCCATCTCTCCCTCCGTGCTGCTGTCATTACCTGTGCCTGAAGACTGCTGAGTTCTGTATTGCCCATTCAGCGAGATGAAGAGCAGCGTCCCATGTGACGAGCCCCGTGGTGCCTCCAGAGATAATTGCCACGCTCTCAGACAGGGTGACAGCTTCTCCCATGGGCTGGAGGACGCATGCAAGCAGAGAGAGATGAATCACCACAGACAAGGGACTTTGCAGTTTACAATCAATATTAGCGCCTGGAGAAAGGTAAGGAGCACTCCGGATTTCTAGGGGGGTTATTTTTAAAGCCAATTATCGCTTAGTTCAGATGATTCAAAGTGATTCATAACAATGCAGCATTAGTTCTTACCAGTAAATAGTTTTTGTAACAGTGAGTAGATTCTTCTTCATTTAAAATATCTGCCAGCGTATCGTACAGTTCATCCAAGGGTTCAGCTGCTGTGGATTCATGCTGTGCGAAAGAGAAGAGGGCAGTTTTGGGTTCAAATTGCCATGAAACAAAGTGTGCACGCATTAAGTCCCATTTTAATAGTGTTGGCCATAATATTCTACACTGAATGCTGTGTTTTGTTATTACATAATGTAAAACTGACATATTTTCAAGAAAAAAAATCAGAAGAGTTGCAACCAGCATGAAAAGTTCAGCACTACCTTTTTGATGAGTTCAGTTAGAAAGCATCTTCTGTACTTGGTGGAGGGGGGATATTTTATACACAGGGGGTGGAGAACGGTCTAAAACAAGAACAACAATTGAAACCAGTTACCAAGTGAAGATTTTTGGAAAAGCATTAAGGGGCCAGAGGAAGACACGGGAGCCATTAATTGGCTCTTTGCGTTACGAAATACATTGTCATTCAGCCTGCAGCTAAAAGCAGCGATGCTGAGCCAGAAAATGAAGTTTGGTGACTTCTGATCAGTTCATTAGTTTACAGATCTGTGGCAGCAAATGCGTTTTTCACTTTGCATTAAGTAAACAGCAAAAACTGAATGCAAAGAGTCCAATTAGCTCTGTTTTGCTTTTCTCTTTTTTGGTTTGCTGCCTTATTTGCGATTTCCTGTTCCACACGCAGAGTTTAAACACCACAAGGGCTGAGGGCTGACACATTCCCACCGTGACCATCAGAGCACCGGGATCCGGGAGCAGCTGTGACAAAGACATCAGTGCTTGGGCTATGGAGCTTAATTTTGCTGCTAGGAACAGCTGAATAACGGGGCTTAATTTTGATGCTAATAAAGAAAACAGCCAAATAACAGATGGAAACGTGCAGTTGTACTGAGCCCAAAGAAAAACTGTGACACCAGGTCACCTCTCTTGGTAACTGTAAGCAAAACCCAGCAGTTGCTTTGGTCTCAGGAGGCGGCCCGGGCCTGCCCCCTCCCTGGCAGTGCCCAAGGCCAGGCTGGGTGGGGCTGTGGGCAGCCTGAGCTGGTTGGAGGTGTCCCTGGTCCCTTCCACCCCAAACCCTCCAGTGCCACTGGGTCACACCC